AGATATATTGATATACTATTGCTGTTTGGTGTAGAGGATATTTTCGCTGCAGTTTTGTTGTGCCATTATGACTACCATATTGACAGATTTAGATTTTATGATCTTCATAAAAGTTGTAGCCTTAGACGTTATCTTTCCAATGGAATTGGAATCAGGTAAAACGGAGGTCTAGAACTCCAGTTATAGCTACTTTGGTGATCAAAGGTCTAGCTGTAAGCGCCGAATATATCTGCTGCGGTTTTTGAAATTTTTAGCTAAGAAGAGGATCTTTTAGAATTTTATGTCTTCATAAGAGTTTTAACTTATTCTCTTAGCTTTCTTTTGAGATAGGTTTGAGATCATTTGGATGAGTATAACTCTCTAGGTATCATTTTCTTTGATCATTGTTGAAGGGATATGTATGGTGTCATGATATTTTTGAATCGTTAGGAATGCAAGAAGAAAAATTGATTTTTGTCATGATTCTAAGATGTCATGTGGATTGAGAGGTTGTTTAAGGTTGTATGATGTTATGTGGTAAAGTTGGTTCATGTACATGCTATATGGGGTAAATGGTGATTGATTCGTACATGCTTAGGAATGATATATATCAATTATTTGAAGTGAGTATTCTAATATGATTTAATATGCATGTATGTTGATATGAGGATAGATGACCTTATGGATCAATTAGCGGGCGTTTAGTAAGGTTGACCTTAAGGTGTGATATCATCAAATTAGAGTTGAGAGTGAGGATTTATCCTAGAAAGTTTTAGGCTAAATTATCTAAGTATGATTTTTGATTATATGAAGTGAGTTTTCTAGATCCTACAATTTCTAGTGGAGGTATAACGTAGATCTATCTAAGATAGAAGTTGTGCTTAAGTGGGAGATACTTGAGTCTATTAGTTAGGAGTTTCTTAGGCTAGCTCATTACTGTTAGAGATTTATTGAGTAAATTTCTAATATATCATTACCTTTGAACAGATTGACTAAGAAGAGTGTTGTTCTTGTGTGAGATAGAAAGTGTGAGAGTAGTTCCCAAATTCTTAAGGAAAGATCGACTAGTGCGCTAGTGTGAGCATTGGCCGATCTTAGTAAGCCTTTTGTGGTATAGGTTGATGTTTCTAAGATAGGTTTGAGTGGAGTTTGATGCAAGAAAGAAAAGTAGTAGCTTATGATTCTAGGCAATTGAAAATTTATGAGAGGAATTACCTTACCTATGATTTTTAAGTTAGTGGTTGTAATATTTAGAGACACTGCCTGTATGAGTCTAAGCTTGAGGTATTTAGTGATCATAAGAGCCTTAAATATCTTTTGACCAAATAAGTTGTATATGAGACAAAAGAGATAGTTGGAATTTCTTAAGGAATAAGATTTTGATCTTATTTGTTATTTGGCCAAAGCCATTGTGGTGACCGATGTTTTGAGTAGGAAAACTTCATATTTATCTTCCCTTGTGATTAGAGAGATGGATCTTTTTGCTCAAATTAGAGACTTAAGTTTGGCTTATAAGGTTACCTTTAGTAGTGTGAAACTAAGTATGACTTGAGTAACGAATGGATTGTTGAAGGAAATTGGAGAAGCATAATTAGTTGATTCATTTTGGTGACAAGATATAAGGTTATAGGATAAGGTGATGGATAAGAATTTGACTTGGGTGTAGATGGAGTGGTGAAATTAGAGATCTGATATGTGTACCTAGTGAACTTACACTTAGGTGCTTGATCTTTAGAAATGATCATAGAAGTAAAACCAATATTGTGGCAGATGCCTTGATTATGATGACCTCTGATATATCATTTTTGATGATTTAAGGGTTGGATTTGATTGAAGAATTTAAAGACTTATGCTTGGTGTGTGAGATTATCCTTAGGAGCATTGAATTGATTATGTTGAAAGTGACTAGTGAATTAATGGATGAGATTAGAGAAGCCTAGGAGTCAGATCCTTTCTTAGGGAACCAAGTGGAGAAGATTGGTAGAAGTATAGATAACCATTTCTGAGTAGAAATCGACGTTGTTTTGAGGTGCAAGAACAAACTTGGGTGCTTAGTAACCTTGAATTAAGAAAGATGATTTTAGAGGAAGGACATAAGAGTACTCTTAACATTTATTTAGGAGCTAATGAGATGTATCGGGACCTTAGGAGGATGTATCAGAGTGGTGCAGCGGAAGCATGGTGGCCTAAGATAAATAGAGGAGTAGAGGAATTTGTATACTCATGTTTAGTATGCTAGAAGTCTTTAGGAATTTTTGTAGCACTTAGACGTCCCATTTTGGAAGTGAGATGGTGAGTGGATAGACCTTAGTTGTAGGTTTGTCTGAGATGCTTAAGAGATTGATTCTCTTTGGGTTATAATGGATAGACTCGTCAAGTTTACTTGTCTTACCCTTGTTGATAATAGACATTCCTTGGTGAAATTGATAGAGTTGTACATCTATAAGGTAGTGAGATTTGCATAGGAATTAGAAAGCAAGATGCGAGGAGTCTACCATTGCAAAAATTTCGGGGATGAAATTTCATAAAGGAGAGGACAATTGTAATAGCCCAATTTTCACTGGGCCAAGAGCCCAATTAAGGTGGTTTAGTAGCCCAGAACGGGCCGTTCCAAATTACTAATTAGACCTACATTTGGTAGCCCAGAACGGGCCGTTCCAAACTATTTATTTTGGCTATGACTCTTAGTTTGGAACGGGCCATTCCCAACTGGAACGGGCCATTCCAGATTTCAGAAATGGCCTTTAAACCTTATTGAGAACGGGTCGTTCTGGTTTCAGAACGGGCCGTTCCAAATTATGACCGTTGAGAGTTTTTAATGCAAACCCAGAACGGGCCGTTTTGGTTTGAGAACAGGTCGTTCTGGATGTGATTTTTACTCGTGTTTTAAGGGTCCAGAACGGGCCATTCTGGATTTGGAACAGGTCGTTCCAGAGACATCTGATTCTATAAATAGAGCACTCTGGCACTCCCAAAAGCACACTTTTGACTTCTCTCTTCTTTTCTTCTACACTCTCTGAAGACCAAGAGGCACTCAGAGGAGGAGACCAAGGAGATCTCTGTTTTAGTTTCATCTACTATTTATCCAGGTACGAGGGAAAAAGGAAATTATTTATATGTAGAGTTACATGAGGGAATTGGGTAGAGGAAGAGCCCTTAGGATTATGAGTAATTTTATAATTATTTCTGTTTGGAGAATTATTGGTCTTATGTGATTTTGTATATAGTTAGGACTATGAATATATGATTTATTTGTAAAAATGACGCTTTGGGAGAGAGAACGAAATTATAGAAAAGTGTCTGTAAGTTAGGTTTTGGACAAAAATCAGATTATTTCTGTTTGAGGAATTAATGATACCATTAGATTCTGTATGTGTTGATGATTAGAAATATATATTTAATTTGTAAGAATTATGATTTGGGAGAGAGAATGAAATTGTAGAAAAGTGTCTGTGAGCTAGGTTTTGGAATAATTGGTAATTTTACCGTTTATGTTAAAATTATATTAAATTGATAATTCTATTGATTATTTTATTAATTTATGAATGTTATTGTTATATTAATTGATAAGAATTGATGATCTAGATGTGAATTGCTTGAGGGGTGTGTAAACCCTTATTTTGTTGGACTTATTTGTCGTGTATGTGATATGGAATTGTGTATGTAATATGGAATTGAGATATGAGATGAGATATTGTGTGGATATGATTATGATTGTGATTGTGGTTCCTCACACTAATGATCAGGGATGAGACGAACCTTGAGTAGTGATGCTTCAAGGACGAGCGTGCCCCTGACATGGTGTGGGATAAGTGAGGCAATTAACACGCATCACTTATGTCACATATGGCAGCCCTGGCATAGGGTTAATTGCAAGAGATTGTGTGGATTATAATGTGATTGTGGTTCCTCACACTAATGACCAGGGATGAGACGAACCTTGAGTAAGTCATGCTATAAGGACGAGCGTACCCCTGGCATGGTGTGGGATGAGTGAGGCAATTAACCTGTATCACTTGTGTCAGTTGTGGTGTGGCCTTGACATAGTGTTAATTGTAAGATTTGTATGGATTGTGATGGATTGGTGTAATTGTGAATTGAGGTGTGAAGATGAATGATTGATAGAATGATGTTATATCTATAGAAATGCTTGTAAATAACATTCCAAGTTATGATGAAATGATGTTGTGGATTTCCTTGTGTGCTTTATATATAAATATTTTCTTTTCTCACTGTATAATTTGTGGATGTTTTAGGTGAGAAAGATCCAGCTTTGCGTGGCATCTAGAATGTCAACCGTTGAGTTGTGGGTGTGCTATGATATTGTGACATCGGGGCAGATAATTCTAGGATAAATTTTTATATGTATTTAGAGTTATAACTTCTCTTTTGAAAGCAATTTGTAAACTCTCAAATTTTACTTTCTAAATTTCATTTTTAATTATTTTGGTTATTTACAAAGGTTTTATGTGAACCCTTTTACGAACGTTGAATATTTTATTCTTTAGTTTATTTACAAGATTTATTTATATATGTGTTGGGGGTAGTAAGAGTGTCACATACTCCAAAATACTAATTAAATTTGCCTCAACCATTTAATTTAAATTTTTTTTATATAACTAGCCAGAAGGTATAATTAGATATATCTATAATCTATATTAATATATAAAAGGGATACATCTTTTAGTAATCACCTTGATCACCACATTTTGTTGACCATTATTCCCTTTCATTTTAAAAAATTAAAAAAAAATAATATTTTTCTCAAAATCAAGACCTTAAATTTAATTGACTAATTATAATATTATATTAACTTATATTTATTACTTAATTTTTATTTTATTTTATCTTTAATAGAGGCACGAAGTGCCTCGGCCATACTAGTAATAGATAAATGGGATACTTCAGTTTGGTTACCACAAATTTTATGACTAATTTTCCTTTTATTAATATGTTGTTTTCCTTAATTTATATGGATATAATCGGAAACGGAAAAAATTGGGTTTTAAAATTATACATGTGGCTCTCATCTCCTTCACTTTCCAAACCCACACACTACTCTCACATTGATAACTTCTCTCAAACTCCCGATAACTTCTCATTGTACGTTACAATATTTTTTGTGTTTTGGCAAACCAAAACCTATCTTGAAAATTCATGCAGATTGTTGTTTCTTCCTTCTGACTTATTGTTGTGCTGATTTATTATCTTCCATTTAGGTGCTTCGACATATATAAGTTCAAATTGGTCAAACTGACAAGGTGAAATTGAGCCCGTGATGCCAAGGTGAAATTTTTTAGTATTTTTTTTTGTTTAATTTATTGATACTGTCATCTGTTAAAAAATGTCGAGCCCTTTCAAGTGATGATATCTATTTTCATCCAAACAAATATATAAAGAAAGAAAACTGAAAATAAAAACAAATAGAGACGTTTGTGCATAGCAAGAAGGCAAACAAAGTTAGTAACGAGTGTCATCATTCCCGGGGCCAAAGTGTAACCATTTAATTTCACAATGTAATTAACAAATTCAAAATTTCGAAACCCATTGCATTGCAACACCTTTTCTCTTTGTCCGTAACCATTTCAATTTTTCATTCACATTTACCGTTTTTCAGTTTCTTGGGTCAATTGCATTGCATGTTTTCATTTTCAATAATTTCGTTTTGTTGAGGAAGTTATTCAAAGCATGCGTTGTTCCACGTTTTCTTCATTTCCTTAGCATTTTTTTGTTGCTCTGTTTTAATTAGGATTCGATCGCGTGCTTCGATAGGTTTTTAGTTACCGTGTGTGGTGGTTAGTTATATTATAGAAGCGATTTTTCGATTCTGTGTTATTGCAGTTAGAGAGTCTTCCTGCCATAGTCACTGGAGTTTGGTCGGATGATAATAGTCTGCAACTAGAAGCCACAACGAGATTTTGAAAGCTGCTTTCCATTCGGTACTGTTATTTGTGTGCGAATACTACGCTTCTATATTCTACTTTCGCGTCGGTTGTATGTATTGATATGGTTATTTAGAGCGGAGTCCTCCGATCCAGGAAGTTATTTACTTTTAAAATATTTTTTTATGAATTTCTTTTTTTTCTTTTTCTATTTAAAGTTTAGGATAGATTAAAACACGCTGAAAAACAATATTTTCATTATGATATTTTGCAAAAGTTCCATCTAATTCTACTAAATTAATTCTTCCATTTTTTTTTCCTACTATTGATATTTTCTATTTTTATTCCACATATAATAAGAATTTTATATCAAAACAAAACTCGACAATATCTTCGTGTTTTATGTTAAATTTCAAAAGTTTATTTCTAATTAATTTAAAAAAATAAAAAATATGTTCTATTAAATAATAATAATTTTTTGAAATTAAATTATTTATAAACATTCAATGTATTTCTCAATTTTACTCTTTTTTTTACAATGATTTTCTCTCAGTATTAATTTTAAAATGATTTCAATTTTAATCAACTTTTAAAAATCCAAGTTTAAGATTTCTCTATTTTCCTAATTCAATTTTTCCATTTATAAATATTAAAAAATTTTGAATTTATTAAGTTTACTATCTTAATTACTATCTTAATAGCTTTAAAATGATGTCATCATGAGGTATCAGAGCATCCTTACTAGCATTGGTGGAGAGATGATGACCAATGTGAAGGAAGTCTTGATTCCTTGGATCAAGTTCTTCAAGATTGACGTCTTTGATGGAGAAAAGGATGAAAATGGAAGTTGGATATAAGGTGTTTGATGGAATGCTTGAGAGGTACTCTAGGATTTGGCTCACTCCAAGGTAGATGAAGGGCACTCCTAGGGTTTTTACTCAAGGTGGAGAAAGGTAGGGTTCTTGGCCGAAAATGACCAAGAGAGACTAAGGAAAATATAAAGGCACAAAAGGCTCACTCTATATTAATTTCCAAAGTGATTACAAGTTGCATAGCCTAGGGTATTTATAGAAGGAAGGAAGCATTAGGGTTGCATTTGAGAGTGCCTTGGCTGAAAAATGCAAGCCAAATGCACTTCAACTGAAACCTAAATTAACCATAGATTCGCTACTTGGTGGCCAAGGATGGAATCTTTGGGTTTGGTTAAACTACATCTAGGTGCATGATAAGACCATGCATCCTAGGTGCCCTCCACTTGGGCCTAAGCCTTACCAAGTCCAAAAACAAATCCAATGCTACCAAAAATATATGTCTAGGCCTTTTTCTAACCCTAGTAAAATACCCTAGCTATAAAATAAAATCCTATAATCTAAGGCACCCCAAAATACAAGGGTAAAATGAGAAATACAAGTAAAATAAATCCTATGTCTAAGATACCCAAAATACAAGGGTAAAATATGAAATTAAAGACAAGGGAAAAATAGGAATAAAAATAAATGCTATGCTAATAAAAACATAGGAGTTAAGGCCCAAAAGTAGGCTCACTTATCCTATGGCTTTTCAACAGTAACTCATTCATCTTGCCTCCTTCAATATATCACCTCTTGGTCTTCTTAGCCTTAGTGTTATTCCATCAAACCCATACACACGCATCTTATAAAAAGGGGAAAGGGGAGAAGTGAAACAAAATAAAAAGAATAAATGAGGGAAGAAAGAGAAAGAAAAAAATGGAAGGAAGAAGATCTCACCTACCCATACACATGCGTCTTATAAAAAGATGAAAAAGGAGAAGTGAAATGTGATGTCTTGACTTAAGGGGAAAGGAACTTCCAAAACCATAACACATCTCTTTCTTTTCTTAGGTTCTTAAGGGAAGATCTCTTAGACTTGGAGCTGCATTTATGGTGTAGTTGCGAAGCTTGAGTTGCTGAAGCTCAGAGCCCTTTTCCTACTCATTCTTTTCTTCCACCTTGAAGCAGCTTGAAGATCTTCTTCTTTTTCCTCATAGATCTCGAAATCAAGGTAAGGGAAGTTGGAAATCTTGGATTCCAAAACTCTGAGTTGGGGGAAAGGCATTTGAAGTTGTTTACATGTGGAAATTGAAATCTTGATGTTCTTGATGATCTCTTTGAAATCATGATGCATGCATGTTAAATTTCTTGTGGTTTCTAGGGTGTATGAACAAATTGAGTAGAGATTATGAATGTAGATCATGTTTAGGGGTAAAATTGATGGAATATAGGTGAGGAATAAAGGTGGGGAGCCATGAAAGTGTACAAAACTTTGCAGCTATGAGAGAAAAAAAGGAGACAAAGATCCAGCGCTGCAACTCTGATTTGAGCGCTGCAGCCCTGGGAGGAACTGATTTGGTAGAGATCCAACACTAGAGCTTTGAGTGAACGCTACAGTCTTGGGAGAAAAAGAAGCTGACAGAAATCCAACGTTTGAGCACTGAATTGAGTGCCATAGCGCTGAGGTAGATGACCGAATTTGGTCTTGGGGTCTTCATGAAAGTTGTATCCTTGGATGTTAGTTTTTCAATTGCGTTGAAATCATCCAAAAAGGAGGTTTATAACTCAAGTTATGATCTTTTTAGTGAGTAAAGGTCAAGTTGTTAGCATTTAGGCAAATGATTGCGGTTTTTATAATTTTTAACATGGTAGATAAGGGAATTAGAACCTGAGTTCTTCATAAAATTTGTAGAAAATCTTATTTTATTTCATATGAGATACGGATGAGTATGATTGGAGTAGTAAAATTCCCTATGGGTTGTTTGTGTAGGATAAGTGATTTTTATATGTTGCATGTTGATACATGTTGTATGATGGGTGAATTTGGTGAACATGAATAGAATGCTTGTGTCTATTGCATGTTGAGTGTTACAATATAATGATAATAAGCATTGGTATGCTATCTTGTGTATTTGAAATGATAATAAGCATTGGTATGCTATCTTGTGTATTTGAAATGATAATAAGCATTGGTATGCTATCTTGTGTATTTGAAATGATAATAAGCATTGGAGTGTTATCTTTGTGTAGTTGAAACGGTGATGAGCATTGATATGCTCTATATGATTGGTATGCAATTTTTGAATGAATGGTGGTGCATTGATATGTTATTCTTGGTTGATGTGTTAAGCATTGGTTTGTTATACATGATTGAAGTTATTGATCTCTATATGCATTGACTGGATTTGATGTATATAGTAGATGTATGGTGAGGTGTGGATGCTGAGAATGTGGTTTGGAATTATAGCATGTTGGCTAACTTAGGATTTGAGGAGAGAAAATTATTTTGAAAATTGAAAATCCCATATAGGGCATCTTGGAGTGGTGCTCAGGTAGGCCACTATTTGGAAAACCTTCCTTGAGTAGGTGAGTCTCTTGGAGTAGGTTTTGAGGTATGTTGAGTCTCCTCCAAATCCTTAGCTAGTGGTTGAGTAAGGTAGGAGGTTGAGGGCTACAACCCTTAACCAAGTACTTGGAAAGGTTGCATTGTTCCTTGAGGATAATCAATGGTCGAATTTCATATGTGACTTGGTAGTGCATGCCAAGGTCGTGGTAAGCCTATACCCTGTTGTACTACTCCTGACGGTGGAACCAGACTTTCCTAGTGTAAGTGATGAGACCCGAGCAACTAGAGAAGGGATTGGTATCCCATTTTGCTATGATCGAGTTGGCGCTTTGGACGTGAAAATAATTAGGTTGATTTGGTAGGGTGGAAATCACTTAAATTGCTCATGTTGTTAGGAGATCTCCATAGGTGAATGTGTGACGACACATTGGTTAATGTGTTTGCATATGATGTATGTTAAGGTGTGTTCATGTGCATTTTGATGTCTTTTGGGACATGATTGGGTGAGGTACACGCTTGCTTTGGATGTGATTAGATTTTATGTATGATATCTGGTGTGTTTTTTGTATATTATAGACTTGTTTTCTATATCTACATGTTTTTGAATTCTAGCTTACCCTTTTTGTTTCCATGGTAGTTTGGATTCCGATGATCATACATTGTATGAGAGTAGATCAAGGCTAGACTTGAGGAGCTGATGCGAGCAAGTATTATGACCTTTTGATGGCGGTACTACTAATGTACCTTATATAGGTGTGCTTGACCGACACTAGGACGTAGGGTTATTTTGGGATAATTGTATACATACATATATATCCTATTTATATTAGTTTGGTTGTTTTATTTATATACTCATGTTAATGTATGATATATTTCTTCCATTAATCTTGTACATTCTAGTAAGTTAGCTTCAATTGCTAGTAATAGTGGTTATACATAGTGTGACGACTATGACGGATTGTTACATGAAAGAAAATAAAAGGAAAAAAAGGAAGAAAGAGATTGGAAAAAAAAGAGGAAGAAGGAGAAGAAAGACATGAGAAACTCAATCCCTCTAAAGCTCGTATTCCTCAAGATGAGTGCATTTAATCAAAACTCAATTATATATAATAGGATTACCTACATATTCATACTTTTCTCCAAAACATTTAAACAAAAAAATCAATTCTTTTTGTTTTATTAAATTTACTTTAAAGATAATATAATAATTTATTACTTGATTTTTTTAAAATTATTTTTCTCTCCTCCTTTTCCCTTGGTTATTCCTTGGAGAGATTAATGTCATTCTTGGTGCTCGTGAAAAGCTAGATGGGAACCTAATGAGCTCATGATCTTGTGGAGAGTTTTGTGAATGGTCCAACATGCATCACCTGAACCACTTGCCCACTAGAGGAGTAGTTTATACATGGATGAATGGTTGGGTGGGCTCCTAGCATGTTGATATGCATTTAGACTATGCCATTTCTAATTGATTACATGGATGTTTGAGGTGCAAGCACTTCTAGAATGTTTGCTCGTAGCAAATCTAATCACCTTCATTAGGAATGGTAAATAAACTCGTACCCATAGGTAATATTCAAACCCGTCCTGATTTTGACAGAAAATACTTGATTTGACCGGGTACGAGTACGGGTTTGGTAAAACCCAAAATACTAAACTGGGGACGGGGCAGGTAAGCCCGCCCCGTCCCCGTCCCTATCCCCATCATCAATTTAATACCCATCCCCAATTTGATTGTGAAATATTTGTGGTTGTTTAATTATTAAGTAGTCTCTCTATTAAAATATGAGATAAACAAACAACCCAATTACCATTGTAATATAACAGAAAGATAAGCTAAAAATATTATGTTTTTTTTTTGCAAAAAGAAAAATTAATTATTTTTTTATGGGTACGGGTATACCCAATACCCGACGGGGACGAAGATGGGACGAAAATTACATACCCATCAAGCATCGAGGACGGGGACAAGAACGGGGATGAGTTTGAACCGTGTGGACAGGGACGGGTATCATGAAACCTATACCCGCCTCGCTCCATTGCCATGCCTAACCTTCATTCTAGTTTCTCTAGAAAATAATATAGCGGGTACGGGTATACCCAATACCCGACGGGGACGAAGATGGGACGAAAATTACATACCCATCAAGCATCGAGGACGGGGACAAGAACGGGGATGAGTTTGAACCGTGTGGACAGGGACGGGTATCATGAAACCTATACCCGCCTCGCTCCATTGCCATGCCTAACCTTCATTCTAGTTTCTCTAGAAAATAATATAGCTAGCCTTGGCTTTTTTTCCTTTAAGATCATAGGCATGTAGCTTGAACAATTTAATTTAAAGTGTCTAGTTGAGAAGGTTTGGAGAACACCAATGGTGGGATGTATGATGTTTATGTTAAAACAAAAGCTAAAACTTTTGAAATTTGTGTTCAATTCTTGGAATTGCAAGGTGTTTGGTAATGTACACACACATGTAGTGGAGGCTAGAAAAATGCTAGAGAATGTTCAACTTCAAAGTGAGGGGAACTTGGAGGTGGAAGCTATAATTTAGTTGGAGTTTGAACAAGCTCTACACTTTAAGGAGTCTTTCTAGTAAGAGAAATCTCGCTTGAACTAATTCTTGAAAGGTGATTGCAACACTGCATTTTTCCACCATATGGTAAAGCTTAATTGTACCTGTAAGTAAATGACTTCTTTAAAAGTTGCGGAGTCCATCATTGGTGCTCCATAAGATGTTTAGAGTCACTTTCTTCAATATTACTTTTCCCTATATGCACATAACTATTAATGAAGTTGTCATTAACATATGCCTCTAACCAAAAGTAAGCATATGGACCATGGTACCAAAGGAAATGCATCTCAACATTTGCAAACTATCTTACCTTGCCAAGAAAGTTCTCACTAGAAGCCCTCCTTCTCTAAGGTCTTTAGGTTCAACCATTTCCTTGGGAAAAAAAATAGTCTCAAGAAACTCCTCCATGGATGCTTTGGGATTTCTAGTAGAAACAATCTTCATGACAACCATTTTAGTTCCTAATTTAGGGTTTAAAAATGAAAGAGATGAAAACAAGGCTTGAGAGTAAGAGTACAAAGTAAGGGTTCAAGAAGTTTTAAAAGTTTTAAAAGAGAAAATCATAGGTGGTAACTTTGGCTATTTTTGAATGTCTAAACCCCTATGAAATATTAAGGCGACATGGGAGAGAGAAACATAATGAGCATTTAATGTGGTTATCAGGTGGTGATGATAGATAACCCCTATTAAACACCTTAGTAGACAACTTGGTTGGTTAATTTACCTAGGATATTCCTTGTATGCCCTCTCTAAGTAGAGGGTTTGGGTGCCCTCTGTACGGCTAGCCAATGAGGTATTGCCATGTGGAAACTTACTCCATGTCATCTAGGATGTTGAAGATTTGACTAGAAATTGGATCAGATCCGGCCCTTCCCCATGATCCAACAAACCAACCCGAACTTAGGTTCCCCTCTCTTGTCCATTTCGTAAAAGCATGCCACCTCGTCTTCTTTTCATTCTTCTCTTAAGTGAAGGTTGTCTCCTTTCTCGTGACCGTATTTCCTTCGATCCGCTTTTGTGTCTCTGTTTCCATCTTCTTGCCATGGATGTTCTTCTCCTCATCAAATGTTGTCTCCCTTACCCTATCTTTGTTTCCATTTGAAAACCTTGCAACTTCTTCTCTTCATGAAAGCTTGTCTCCATTTCCATTTGAAATCCATTTGAGGTTAGAAAAATCTCAGTTGATTTTCCAGTTTTGTGTCTCGTTTACGTTAATAGGCACCCTAATTCTGAAGTGAACATTTAGTGGTAAGTTCAATTTTGTTCGATTAAGTTGTAATAACTTTGCAGTTGTGCTTGGATTCTCTTTAATTTGTTGGTCATCTAGTGTTAGTTTGACGAATAACAACCATTGTGCAATAATCAGATAGTGGTAAGTTGTATTTTGGTGAATTATACCCTTGTTTAGCTTGCGTTACTACTTGTAACCTTCATGTAGTGTTGGATTGTTAGTATTGACTATTGATAAATTTAAGTTCCAAAAGTACAACCGTGTTGAACTCAATAGTTTGTGGTGCGTTGAATTTGGACTATTATTGATTGTGTTTGGGGTAAGATGTATTTTGGTGACCCCAAGTATGTATTGTTGGTGTTATATATGAATGAAATGTTTGACAATTTTTATTGTGAAAAAGTATGTTGATTTATATCAATGTTATTTTAGTTTTTGGTTGTAGTTTTTTGTTAATAAATTTGTTATATTTTTAGGTGTAAAATATGTGATCAGATATTGATAATTTATATATAATATAAGTTTTAGTGAAACAAACATGTTATGTGAATATTTTTTAATTTATTTAGTTAGTTGTTAGTATTAATTTTTGGCCATTAGTTGATTAAGTAAGTTTATAATGCAGATATCTAACCTTAATGAGGAAGGGTTTATTAATTTAGATGATGACAAAGAAATGAATGTTTCTAATAACGATGCATCATATGAAGAAAGTAGTGGAAGTGATGTTGGTTTTGGTAACGAGGAAGATGATGCGCATGTTGACAATAATCATAATGAATACAAAAGTTTTATTGATCTAACTATAGAGGACATATTGGGTTTGGAATTTATTAGTGAACATGATGCATATAAATTTTACTTTGCATATGGTAAATTTCATGGTTTTGAGATTAGGAAGGATGAAATTGGTCATGATGCAAATGGAAAAATAGTAATGCGTCAATTTTTATGCAATAAAGGGGGTTTAAGAGACAAAAAACATCTTATGAGAGATAATAGAAAAAAGGGACATAGGCCTCTTAGTCGTACTAATTGTAAAGCCAAATTTCGTGTACGACTTGATCAAAAAACAAGTAAATGGAAAGTTGTGTCATTTGAGGAGGGTCACAACCATGAGATGTGTCATTTGAAAGATAAAGATTTTGTAGCATTAGAAAATTATAATAAGATTCAAAATTAAAGTTATTAAATTACACAAAAATGATTAATTTAAATGTTTAAACTATATTTTAATGATAACAATGTATACAAAATATTATGATTGTAACAAATATAAATAAATAATTTTTTTATATATTAAATTATACAAAATATATATGTTTTATAATTTTGTTACACAAAAAATAGATATTTAAAAAAATAGAGAAAATATAAAAACATGATAATAAATAAGGTAACCCTAAAAGTTAATTTATGTATCTTTAGTAATTAGTTAAAATATAAATGACAAAGGAAATAGAAATTGTACCTGTCTGAAGGGCACACTAAGTCTTCTTGTA